GCTCTTGGCCCAGCCCAGTCCAGCCTCCTTCTTTAATGTGGAGCTTCGTACTGGCCACGACAAAGCTCAGTCAACATTTCTGGGCACCCATGCAGCCTTTGAAAGCCTTCCCTTTGCTTAGCCCCCTCTCCCCGCCCCCTCATCTTAGCTTTTATAATCTAGAACAAAGAGCTTGGTCACCTTGAACCTTGGCAATTTCATTCTAACTTTTCTTTTGGGTCATTTATAAAAACAGTAAGGCCAGTGCTGGGACAGTCATTTTTCAACACTTCTCCCTTCAGAGAAATGTCTCTTTATTCACTTCCTATCTCTCAGTCACTCTCCTCTAAGTCAGATGAATCCCTTTTATCCCATGGTGACCCCAACTCTGGAACAGCCTTTGAAATGGAGCCTGGGCAAAGGCTTTACAAAGGCTGACTTAGTCATCCTTGCCCACAGCCCTCATTCTCAGATGACCCCCTCATCCAGCCACCATCTTGCCTTTCCCCCTACATATCATGCTCCCTTAAGAATCCCACAATCCTCCCCTCTATTATAGAAGGCAGCCTGTACTTCCAGGTCCCTTCTGGGACCCCTCCTTGGGAAAATGGTTTCAGAGAGAGCCTAACCATCCTCCTGCCCAAGGGCACTTGTTCCCAAGGAGGAGCACAACCTCTGTGGTTTCAACATACACATTTTGGTCAACACAGTCACAGTGCAAACTCTAAATAAATATCCCCCCTAGTTCCTCCTTTGCTTGAATAGTTCCTCTGACAATGTCACCCCTCTGGTCCCCAAGGGATAAGACAGGGTCCTTTCAGAAGCCAAAATGGCACAAGGAAGGTAGGAAGCAGGACGCCTGGTGAGAGAAGGGGCCCCAAGAGGGGTGGGATGGAGAGATGGGCTGCCTGCCGGCCTCCTCTGAGCAGGATCTCATTCCTGGGGACTCTCCGGCACAGGAGGGTGGCCATGTGCATGTCAGAGCCAAACTGAAAACCCTAAACGAGTCAACCACTGTCCCCTCCATTAGCACTAGGATATCAAAAGTTGAACACAAAGCCTGAGACAGGGCAGTGCGGGCTTGAAGCTGACTCTGACTCATGACAGGTGGGATGAGGAAACTCCCCAGCTACTTCATGCAGTCCTCGCCCAGCCCCACCCTGAGAGGGGGAGGATCCCAGGCAGACAGATGACGTCATAGGCAGGACAGTCCCATCAGTCTGGCTCCCAGAATGTTCAGAAGGGAACTCTAGTCCATTTTCTGCTTGTCTCCTCTGACTTACTCAAAAACAAGTTTGTTTTCCCCCCCAGAAATTTGATGGCACACCCCTAAGGCCTTATACTTGAGCCTCACTCAAAATCTTCCAAAGCAGTTCCCCACATTCTTTCATTCATATATGTCTCACAACCAAAATATGAGGGGGTAGGCTCTATCAATGTATCCTTTTAAGAGAGAAACACACAGAGGCTCAGAGAAGGAAAATGACTTGGCCAAGATCACCCAGCAAATGACCAGCAAGAGGTCTAACACCTGAGTCCCCCATTTTCCCACCATCCACACTGCTTCCCAGACGAGCCCACAGAGGTTGGATTTCCATTCAGGAACCAGTGCCCATGCCCACAGCCACATACCTGTGAGAAGACCCAGTCTTCCCTGGTTTAGAAGGCCAGGGAAGCTGCTCTCTGCCTGGCAGGGACTGGGGAGAAGGAAACCTTCCCACTGGGGACCAAGGGCAATATTAGTATTCAGCTCTTTGTTTCAAGGCCACATCACACAGCCTCTTTCTCTTATTCCCCTCAAATGCCTAACCCGCCTCAGACCATCCTTGTATTTAGCAGGTCTGTAGCATGCCCAGTGTTCATCAGTGAAAGTCCTGCACCTTTGAACCAACTAAGCCAGCAGCATCCTAACCCAGGGCCTGGCCACATTGCTAGATCCCGTAACCTGCTAGATAGGGCATCTCCTGCCCCCACTTTCCTTCAGATCCCTGGTTCTGAGCACAGTGAGGGCAAGGAATTGGCATCTCTTAGGGGGAGAAAAGAAAGAGATAGGAAAGAAAGCTGGACCCCTCATTAGCATTTTGATAACGAATTTAGTGCAGTCTTGGGTTGGCGAGAAAATGGCTTGCTTCTGGGGGGGATCCTAGAGCTCTCCGCTGTCTGAATATTCCATGTGTTTGTTTCCCTAGAGGGCTAGAGAACCCTGGACACAGAGTTCAGCAAGAGAGAGTGAAATTAAAAGAGGTTGTGAGTCTTTAACCTTGAGCCTGAAATGAATGTGAATCAATCCCAGACTCTTGGCTTCCTTGAAGCCGGGTAAACATTCGAGTATGTCGAACCCATTCCACACCGGGGCCGCTGTGTTTCCTCAGAGCCCTCTGACAGCGGGCATTGGTCCCCCTGCTCCCTGTGTACCAATGAAACCAAAACGTCTGAAATCCCACAAACTGGGGACCTTCCTCTCTTCCCCTCACCCCCCGCCCAGATGCAGCTTATGCCCCAAAGTCCCAGTTTTAGGTAGGCAGGGGAGGGAGATGGAAGAGCTTTTTTTCTTCCCATACTTTTTTCCATTTCAGCCGTGGAGAGAACCGAAGTGGAGACTTGAAATGGCCGTGGCGGGGTGTCCCGAAAAGTCTTGTCCCCACAGTCTTGTCCAGAGCAGTCCATTCTTTCTGTTGTCTCCATGCCAGGGGGAGGGCGGAGGGGCCTGCATCTCATTGTGTGTTGTCCCCTTTGCATTGTCAGTCACATGACAGGGTCCTGCCACCATTCCCTCCCCCCACCACCAGGTACTCCAGCTGGCATCTCATTGAAAGTCAGCCTCAGAACACCCTGAGCACTAGGCTGAGCAGCTACAATGAGAATTCTCATTCCCATTTTACAGATAAGAAAGCTGAGGCTTGTAATGCCTCCCCCCACGCCCCCCCCCCATTAGGAATTTAACAGCCCACTTAGCAGGAGATTGGAATACTGATAATCTCTACAGAGTCACAAATAGGGAAGCCGGGGAAAAGGAGCCTCAGAGCAGACGGAAGGGCTGTCACCGAGGCGGCACTAATGCTCAGTGCTTGTGCTTGGCACCTCTTGACTAATGCTCGTGCTTGGCATCTCTTGACTCTTAAAGCACATTCCACCACATGGGGCTCCCTGGCTTCCCCAGCCCACAGCACATAAGAAAGGAAAAGGAAAGAGATGCTTTTTCAGAAGACAAGAAGTCAGAGCTAGTAAGTCATAGCTGATGGCAAAGGAGAAACAACTAAAAGACAGTTGCAAAACTGTGGGTCTTACACAAGACCACCAAGGAGTATTAGCAAACTTGAAGTTCAGGTCAGCTCTGTGTGCTCTAAAGTCGAAGGCAGAGGAGCCTGTGATGGGCTTTAGAAAGACACCCTCTGAATCCTTAAAAGGAGCTCTGACATTTAAAGCCATCAACCACAGTCATCTAGAAAAGTCACGTCCATGGGCCAAGGCCTTCCCCGCCAGCGTCCCACAGATGAGCACCTCTGGGTTTAGCTGAGAGCGACACAAATCCTAGGACTGCCAGGGCCTCCCCACACCTGTCTTGTCAGTCTCCGCCTCCCCGAGGCCCCTGGGATGTGGGGGCCACTGCTCTGCAGGGAAGGCAGCCATGCAACCACGGGACAGGGCCAGCGGGTGCTGCCTCCGTTGGGGCTGGATACAGTTCTGAGTGGGCTAGAAAGAGAGCAGGAGGTGCCGTTGTCCAGAGTCCCATCAGCCCCTTGAGATGACAGGCACGGCTCCCCCTCCCAGAAGTCCAAAGAAGGGACCCCTCTTGTACCCAGTGAGGCAGGACAGGGGACGACCAGAAAGGCAGTATGACGTGCCCACAGTCTTGGCACCAAACTCAGGTCTCCCACTAGCTGGAGGACTCAGGTCCAAGCTCCAGCCATTCTTCAGAAGAGAAGGCTGAGGCCCAGGATGCAGGGTTCATGACTGAAACCCAGAAAATGAACGCACTGGCTGCTGTGTGGCTCAGCTCCACACCCCCCAGAACCCCACCTGAGGCTGGGTTTGCCCATTCGATTCTGGCCCCATTTTTTCGTTTTGTGTTTTCAAAGCACAAACAGGGAAATAAAATACCTCAGGAAATAAGGGACCCCAAGGCAAGCTCCAATGCCTGGCCAGGGCTTTGAGTCTATACTCGAGTGTTTACCTCCTCAATGCATGAAGGAAAAGAAACGCTGGGTACAAACGACCTCTGTTCACATTGTCCAGGCTTCCAAGTGTAGCCGTGTGCCCGTTTGTGTGTGCCGTATGGTTCCCGCCCCCACCCGTGGCATGCTCCCTGCCCCGAGTGTCCCCAGTCTGCCGGCTCCCTCGTGCTTTCTGGCTGCCTCTGCACTGCACCTCAGAAAGCCCTGAGTTGGGCTTTCGTTTGCTTTGCTGCCTTCGGTTGGACGTTCTCGTTCTCTGTTTGGCCCTCGTGTGTCTTCTCTCATCCCAGCTCATCCACCTGTCTCACCTTTCTGTTCCTTTTCTGTGTGTGGCGCGCAATCTGTTCCATGTTATATGGTTTCTTAACTGTGTGTGGTTTTTTTACAATTAGTTTTTTTTTTAATAGCCTCTCCTCCTTCCTACTTGATTCCCACCTGGCCCTCCCCTCCTTCTGCATGGTTGAACCTCTGCTCTAGAATTAACAAGGCTCAGTCTCTCACTAGGTGTGGGTGCCCACCAGAGTGGACCAAGCTTCCTTTAACCACTGGTTCCCAGCATCTCTTTGATGGTGCTTGATGACTCCTCCTGTTCTCATACTGTAGTTCTGGCCCAAACCAATTTTAAAAAAAACCAACCACCTCATGAATGCACATAACCTAAGCCCTCTACCACTTCCGTTTTTCCCCTCCTGCGATGCTCATAACATCCAGCGACTGTGGATTCCAGCCGCCTGCTGTGTCCTAACTCTTCTCCCACCCGTCCCCTCTCCGAGGCCCCCAAAATGTGGCTGCCAACCCCCTCCCCCCGCCAGGGCAGTGCTTCTGACCCCTGTGCTTCCCTTGCAGATCCGCGTCGTGAAGGCGTTCCGTAGCTCTCTCTATGAAGGTTTAGAAAAGCCTGAGTCTCGAACCTCCATCCATAATTTCATGGCTCATCCTGAATTCCGGATCGAAGATTCCCAGCCCCACATCCCCCTCATCGACGACACCGACCTGGAAGAAGATGCCGCACTCAAGCAGAACTCGAGCCCGCCGTCCTCGCTCAACAAGAACAACAGCGCCATCGACAGCGGGATCAACCTGACGACCGACACAAGCAAATCAGCTACCTCTTCAAGTCCAGGGAGCCCCATCCACAGCCTGGAGACGTCGCTTTAGCTGAGGACCTCCGGCGCCCGCCCGCCCTCACAGACCCCACCACCACCTGCCTTTCGGGCACCCACCCACCCAGGCACCCAAGACACCAAGCAGCAAAGAGCAACAACAGAAAACCAAACACTGGAGAGAGAACCCATGTTTCCACCCAACAGACCCTTTCTCTGGCTGCGATGCTGTTTGAACTTTTTCACTTGGAGGCAAGGGGCGGGATCTCTACTGGGGGCTTATGGGAGTGAGCGATTTGTCAAAACCCGCCCTTCCTGGCTCCCGCCCACACATGGACCAGCCATGCCCCCGCCCGGCCACCACGTCCCCTGCATGAATGTACTGTACACTTCCAGTCCTCCCCTTGTTTGGTTTTCGGGGGTTTGGGGAGGGGTTTTTTGTTTGTTTTCTTAGGCGGGAACTGCAAACACTCTTTTCTGAGACTATTTATCCAATCCACTGGTCTGTGAGTTTTTGAAATGCTTGCGCAGCATGGTCTCAGTTGTATAGATTAATTTAATAACTTTTTGAAATTGCAGAGCTTAACTCGCCTAGTAGATTTGCACCAACGGAACCGAGGAACTTCATAGACACTCACAAGGTTATATCCATTTCTTTGTATCTATATCTACGTATACTTCTCCAAGACTGTATACGTCCATATAGATAAGTAGATTTATATATATATATATATATATATATATATATAAATATATATATATACATGGATATATATAAAGTTTCTTTGCCGGCATGTTGCCTTGTTTCCGCTTAAATTGCTCTATTTTAACTTATTTATGTTCTAAAAGAAGAATGTAATTTGTTTACAAACCTGTAGATAATGTCTGGCTATTTGTACCGTTTAAGAACACTGGTGGCTGAGATGCTGTACCGACAGCTCAGCCCAACAGACACTTCTCCTGGATTGCATCCCTGATGTTTTACAATAGCCATGCTCTGATTTTTGCCTGCCATTTCCGTTGAATAACGTCACTACCGCGGGAGTCTCAGGCAGGAGCCAAACACTACCGAGTATCCATCTAGAGAAGTTTCATAACGTGCTCCGTAGACGAAGGGAGAGGAGGAGAGAAGGCTTCCTGGGTTTGTAGCACTAACGGCCATCCTGGCCCAAGGATGACGGCAGCATCCACGAAGCAAACGTTGAAGACTTTTCTCTCAATGAAACTCGCTTGAGTTTACCAAGAGCATTTCCAAACTTGGTTCTCTTTGGCGCTGTCTGTACAGAGATTGGGGTAGTGTTGAGATATTATAAATGCTATTGTGTTGATTTTTTTTTATTAGTAATTTAGAGGTTTATTCCCTTATAAATTGCAGCATATGAGCTGTTGGCATATGGATGAAGATCAGTATGGCTTGCTGCTTTTATTTTTATTTTTGAAGAAAAATAGCCTTTTTCTCTGCACTATTTAGATCCGAATGAACTTTATGATGTGTATATTGAGATGTATTCAGTGTGATTTTTTAAACCAAATTGTCTTCCTGTAGTCACGATATATACTATAGCCTTTTAACAGCAAGTCTCGCTTTCCCAGACAGAAAGCCATTCTGAAACCCTGCGGTATCACAGGTGAGAAAAGGTGGTTATTTTTTCCCCCAAACCAATAACAGCACTAGTAATCCCACTTATAAGAGCTTATTTAATTGTATGTCAGCCTCTTAACTGCTAAGCACTTTGTGGGTCTCAGCTTTTTTCATAAAAGAACTTTTGTATTTAATACAAAGTTAGCTTTGAGACTTTTCAGCATACGATCTTTTTCCATAAACTTGTACAGTGCAAAAGACATTTTGAATACCATGATCGATGATGTCCCATGCTTCGAGGAAAACCAAACACTTTCCGCCTTGCTTGCAAAACTCATTCCTCACGCTGACCCTTCCCACAGTTGTTCTGTGTCCGCCCGGCCCCTTCCCTTCTCCGGGCCCAGAGAACTCTTCCACAAACAAGATGAGATCCCCTCGGGAAAAGAGCCATAGTCAGCTGGGAGGGCCTAGGTCTGGATGGCTGTGGAAAAACTTGAGGGCTTAGGGTCTGAAGTCAGCCAACCCCACAAGGCTAAACCCTCCTGTCAGGAGAAAGCTTTCAAGAGGGCCTTCTTTGTGAGAGACCATCACCTGAACGTCACGAAGAAATATCTCTGAATGTATCTGGGAGAGGCAACTGCACCCCTGAAGGGGCGAGCAACCCTCAGACGTGCTTACTGGATTCAGCTACAAGCACCACCAAAAGCCAGCCTGCTGAGCAACTCTGAGGAAGGAATGCCTCGCATGGGTGAGACACGGGGCAGCCTCGGAACATGGTGTTTTTCGGAGTTTCGTCTCTCAAGGTTTCCCATTCTCCCCTTCTTCGTTCTAATCATGTCTCCATGACCTCATTCCATGACACCAGGATAGTTCCACTTGTACCATGCTTCCTGTTCCTCTGCAGCCAAGATGCAAGGAAACCAGGAGGGGCTTCTGTGAGTGGAGCCTCACTTGGGGAATAGGGAATGATGGAAGCTACCGAGAACGTCCGACGTCAGCTTTGGTCTTTTCTTGTCAGGAATGACAGATTCTCTCCCACACACACCCTCACTCTCACACTTGCATACACAGCCACACACACAGGAAATGATTGGTTTGTCAAAACTCACTGTAGTACATAAAGCTTGCACTCTGCGTCCTATATCTAGCAGCATGGGGTACGTTTGACAGTTCACCCCACTAGGGGGTAGATAATTTATGACCATTCATCTGTTTTTATGAATTTTTTTATCTAGACAATAATTGTAAATAAAGAACTCACCGTCTCTGTTCATTTAATACTATGCAATGGTTATGCTTTCAATTGCTGACACTTCTTACCCTGGCAGTGTGGTTCTGAAATGTCTGTGGCTTAAAAAAAAAAAAAAAAAAAGGCAAAAAACACCATCGAACAGAACATAGTAAGTATGTGCTCTATAATGTATACATTTTTCCAGTCAGGGACCGCACCATCTGAACAAGGGCCCCAGGAGAAGGTGGCAGATGCAGGGGTGAGGTCTAAGCTCCCCAGCCTGCTCCCCCCAACAGATGAAGGAAGAGCAGGCAGCCCCCATCAGTGGTTCCTGGGGCTGTGGAGTCCCCCCACCTTCACAGGTGGGCTGGGAGGACTCTGAGGAGTTCCTGCAACTCAAGCAGAGCTTTCCCTAACTCTGGAGCAGCCCTGACTGCTCCCATCAACCCCTCACCGTGGCCCCTTCGCCCAGCCAGAGCATAGTGCTGGTAAAGAGGGAGGGCGCCCTGCTTCTGAGACCAGACTAGCTACAACTGTGCTGGAGCAACAACTCTTTGTCTGTCTGATCCTGGCTGTCCCAGTTATCAAATCATGTATTCTTTTCCCCAACCGTTCTGAAATGCCACCTTGACCACAGACTGACATCTTACATAGACTTGGGTCGATTTCTGGAATTTCTCTTCTCTTCCCTCTCTGGGTGTCTCGTCTGGCACCAGCTGCATAGTTTTAATTATTGTAGCTTTATAATGTTTTATTACCTGGTGGGGCAAGTCCCCTTCGCTCTTCCTTTACAAAATTTCCTGGTCATTCCCTGACATCTATTCTTCCAAGTAAACTTTAAAAATTTTGCCAAATCTTCCACTCCCTGCCCTCCTCCCACCCTAAATCCTGAGCCCTGTCATTCTCTGTGCAAACATCTTCGTTCCGTTGCAGTTACTGTCCACTCTCGGCCACTGGCTACACTGTGTCCTGTAAGGAGGAACCAAAAGGGCTTCCTGCCTCTTGAGGGAAGCTGGATGTCCCCCCCCACCCCCCATCATTTCACCTGTCCCCTAAACCCAGGAGTTGTCAGGAAGGCTACTGAGCCCCCATCTAATCTCAGCTTGGGAACCAGAGTCACCCCACCTTGGTGGTACTGAGGTGGACCCTCCATCTGCCCCTGGCCCAGATGAGAGACAGCAATCTGTCCCAGACCTGGAGCACCAGAACTAGCTAGGAGAGACCTTTGCAAGGCAAAATGTGTGGCCCAGTGGACAGTACTTCTCATTCTCTTCATGGAGAAACGCTGATTCCCATCTCCCTTTCCTGAGCTGATTTTCAGAAGTTGTGTGACAGGTCCTTTGGGATGCAGCATTTCTTGCCAAGACCTTCTCACCACCCCTACCCCCACACCCCCTCCTCTTCTTGCTCTGCCTATAGGAGGCTGCCACCTGGTGCACTCTGATGAGCCTCCTGCCCAAACCTGTCTCCTGCCATAGTGTCTGAAATCTCCTGTGTTGGGGGAGGGGGTTTCTTGAAGGCTTTGGGGTCTTCCAGAGCCAAGGCCTAAATCAGACAACAGCATGAAATTCCCAGGTCTTTTCCAAGTTCCAAATCAAGCTCTCCTAATTTTGAGGTAGAGATCCTACCCACCCAAGCAGGGGTGAAGGGTAGGTGGGAGGGCGACCCCGGGCCCCAGGCATCAGCCATCACCCCTTCCACCAAAAGCAAGGTAGCTAAGGAACCGCCCTTCCCAGACCCCTAAGTATGTTTTGTAATGCCTGTGGTGCTCTCCCTCCCAGAGCTGGAACTTTCGGGGGTTTCCACTTTGCTAACTCTTGTGTGCACATATTTTATAACAGAGTAACGAGAGAATGGTGCCACATCCAGCTTCTACAAGCTTCCCAGGGTTCTGGGAGGCTCTGGGGCAATCGGGGCTGGGAAGTGACTGTGCTCTTATTGTACACTTATTTCTCTGTATCTCTGGCTTGTGCTCTTTGTAATTAATGGGATTTGTCTGCCTTTTCAACACTATCCTGAGCAATAACAATAAATGCACACGTGGAAATGCAGACATGGTACACATCACAAGGCCTTTTTCCGCAGGACAGCTGGGCACCCCGCCCCCCTCTATGAATTTGAACCCAGAGGGAAATTGAGTCCCTGGGAGGGAAAGGAACTTGGCCCAAGAGCACAGCGCTCAGTGGGTGGTCTCCTACCAGGTCGCCCCTTCTAGAGGGAGTGTTTTTACTCATAGCTGAAAATGCACCATTTGAGGGAGACAAGTGTAGCCTGCCATCAGTCACTAACTCTCCATGTGGAGTGGTCTGCAGTCCCAGAGTGCAAGGCCTTGGGAGAAGGGGCCTCAGGAGGAGGAAGAGATTCAGGGGCAGACAGTCTTGTGGTGGGGAAGAAAGGGGACACACACTGGAGAGAGCTCAGAATGGCCTGACTTGGTTCTGGCATCAACCAGAGGAAGGGCGTGGGAGGCATGGACACAGGATGTTGGTGGCATCTCCTACTGGGGAGGAGGGAGGCAGAGGGGAGCCTGGTACCCAAGAGGCTGAACTTTGCAAACCTCTGCTGAGCATCAGCAGAGAAAGAGAATGTGCCCAGACTAAGAAACAGTCCCCAGTGTTAGGCCAAAGCCTGGGGTCTCAGACTCATGTAAGCACACACACACTCCTCAGATCCTAGTCTCTTCTCACGGAGAACAAAAGCCCAGATCAAGCACCATAGGCCCATCCAACTTCCAAACACTGCTTCACATCCAAGGGTCCATTTAATCCTGATATCAACCTTTGGGGTAGGTATTATAATTCTCATTTTACGGAGGAGGACCAGCAGCCCAGAGAGGTGAAAGGTGTGCCCTCCTAGTAAGTAGGTGATACAATATTTATACCTAAGCAGTCTGGATTCCAGAACCTGTATTCTAAACCTCTATATTATAATGCCTTTCAGGCCCACCAGCAAATATCTCAATGAGTAAGATACAGTTCCATACTTGTCCCAAATCCCCAATCTCTTCAATTTCATTGCTTACACCAGGGCATTCCTTTAATAACAACAATGCTCCCACATATTAAATTATATCTAATATGCCATTATCCCCATCTCCCACTTGAGGAAAGAGACTCAGAGAGAAAAATGCCTTGACCTTATTACCCAGAGTATCAGTGGTGCAGGTATAGACCCAAGGCCAGGGCCTGTCCTTTGAAGAACAGGAGGACCAAGAGCCTCCCCACCCCTTTACTTCCTGCTCCACCTGACAAAGAGACACACATACACACTAGAGGGAAACATAAGCCCTAAACTCCGGGGTGGGGGTGGGGATGGGTGGTTTGCTACCTGGAGGTCTGGCCAAGTTCTGTAGCACCCTACTCTTCTGGGCCCCCTTCCATAGTTTGCCAGTCTGGGTCTATCTGAGCCTTAACATCTTCTCTCAAGCCGTGACTACCTCCAGATATGGTTCTTCTCATGTTCAAGGAAGGAAACTGAGGGATTGTGTCTTATCCAAGGGGAGCCTAGGCTCCACCCTGGGTCCCCTGCCTCCTTAATGGCCCGAGGGGGCTTTAGGGCTGGGCCCCAGGCCCTACCCAGAAGCGCAGCATTTCTCACTGTGCTTGTGGGGATCCCCCAACTTCCCTCCTTTGGGCAGCGGGGGAGAGGGTTGGAAAACTGGGGGTCAGGTCCCGGGCTCTAGCTGCAGTAGCCTGGCTGAGATTCCTCCTTGCCTGGGGATCTACCTGAGGGGCCAGACTCACAGGATCCCGGGACTGCTGTGGAGAAGTAGCAGTTTGGAGGCATCCGACCTATGGCTGGGGAGGGCGGGGCAAGAGGTTTCAGCCTCTGTTTGGGGGGCATTCCCTGACTTTCTTGGCCCCTAGACCCAGCCGATGGGTCCTAAGGAGGGGCTAACAAAAAGGGAGCACTAGGACCAGTCTACTCACTCCCCCTTAAAATTAATCGACCTACAAAATTCGTCATAAGGTCGTTCGCACCCAGAACAGCAGGGAGGCTGGTAAAGCTGTAGTTAAGAATCCTTTCTTTCATTGACGCGTCTCAAGAAAAGGAAAAGGCTGCTCAGGAAGATACGCCAGTCAGCGCTTCAGACGCCAAACGGTCCTGGGTCAGGGACGTCGTGGAAACCAGAGCGGTTCCGCGAAGGTTTCGTGAGAATCAGGGGCGGGGCAACGGGAGGGAGGGACGCGGCCTCCGGAAGGCACGGAACCTTTGTGTCAGCTGGAGCGGGTTGCTGCTCGGAGGCTCCTGAGCCACGGCCCCACGGCTTGCAAGCCGACGCCGGAAGTAAACCGTTTGGAGCTGCCACCGGGAGCTGCCACGTCTGAGACCGGGAGCTACAACCGCCACTGCTATGGTGAGTGTCAGGGTCGAAGACGTCGAGTGGGGTTCGGGCCACGGTCGCTGTCCTGACAAAACTCGCCCTCCCTGGTTCCTCAGCCGCTCTGAGGTTCAAACCCGGGGCTGGGATCATTCAACTTGCTGCCACCGTTTCGAGGTTTGGGGGATCTGGCCTTGGTCCTCTGGCCCTGTCCCTCTGGCCCTTTCGGAGTGGGAGGCCAGCGGAAGGCCGCCAACATCCCGGAATCTTGCATGCTGCGCGGTTGCAGCTTCTCTTCTTTCCCTAACAATTAAAAGCAATACAACATAGTAGCTACTGTTTCTCGAGCTCTTAGTGAATTCCAAGCCTTGCTTATATCATCAGTTGGCCATCAGCGCGGTGAAATACGTGCTATTATTATCAGCATTTTGCAGATGAGGAAATTTGAGGTTCTAAGAGGTAAAGCCTTGTGCACAGCTGGTAAATGGCAGAGCTAAGATTTGAACCCTCCTAACCATTCCGTTCTACCGCCTACTCCTGCTCCCAGCAAAGATGTTTGTCAACTCGCTGGGTCCCCAGAGAGTACCCCAGCTATGATAGACACTTTGGGAAACTGATGTAGGGATGAACTGAAGGACTCTGAGAGTAAGGTCTCAGTTTTTTATCTCCGTGGTATCCACAGTGTATATTCACTCTACACTTACTCGTTGAGGGAAGGAC